AATTAATAATTAATAAAATTTACCATGTGTTATCTAAAATAATTGTTAAGAAATAAATAATCAAACACTAAAAAAACTTTTAGTCACAATTATAGTAGAACATAATTTAGCACAACAAAGTCATATCATCTGATAACAATTTAAAATGCATCCTAATTTTTGTAATAAAGTTTTGTTAAAATTTTATTTGATTATTAATTTTGTTGTGTTTGATAAGAAGATGATAAAGAAAAAATTAATAAAAAAGTTGTTAAGTGAATCTAATATAAAAAAATCATATGGAAAGTTACAAGGAAAATTACATAAAAACATTTTATTACGTAAAAACATTTTTCTTTCAAAATAAGCAGGAAGAAAGATAAATAAGAAGAAAACTTTACGAGTTAAAAATTATGTAAGTGTAAATAAATATTCAAAATATCATTTTTATCCTTTGTTTACTGTAATATTAATATATAAAAATACATAAATTATCTTATAAAAAGTTTTTAAAAAATTTAAAATTTACCCCTCAACCTAACACATAATAAGGGTACTTCTCTAGGGTGGGAATTGTGGTTGCAAAAGGAAGCCTTAAAAGGTCTAATTTAAAAGTTTATTGGATCAGAGGCCGGATTCAACTTCAAGAGTTTGCAAAATTGAAAAGAGAATCCGATTTTAAAAGCCTTTAGTTTTGCAAGGCTGATTCTCAAATTGAGTCATTTACTTAGGAGCTAGAGTCTCAAGTCTCGTGGTCATAGGATAATTTTTCTTTTTATTTAAAAAATAAAATTTTTATGTGCTTTAAATTGCAATTTACCTCCCCCTTTTTTTTCTAAAGAGGTCGGACCCATTTTCTTGGTTTGTCAAGTCAAATAATCTAATAAAAGGCCGATTAGCTTGAATTTCAGACTTCAGGGACCGAAAAAAAGGTCCAAAAGCTATGCTGTGCTTTACGCAGCTACCGACGCGGTCCCCAAAGTCTTCGACTCTGTCTTTCATGAATGAAGTCCTTTTTTTTTTTTTTAATAACAGGTACAATTTAGAAGAAGAGATGGTAAATTATAATATAGTAATATTACAGTTTAACATTTAATGCACCTATCAAATGGTACATGAAGTTTGGTGCGAGTTCAGTTTTTTTCCTCTTTTAGTTTTTGAAGTTCTTATGCTATTACAAGCGACAACAATTCAATTATTGTATCTTGATGTAATATAAGCTTTGGGTAAGTAACTTTCTGTTAACCTTCTATTAGATTTGACAATTGTATTAGGGGCTAACTTTCTGCTCCGCTCATTTTTATTCTCTCTGTTTTCTCTCCATATTTCCTTTGACTAAATATCCTGGCAACTCATATATCTTCAGTATCATTGCCCCCTTTTCCATTGTATCACGGAAATGATGATTTCTCTTCTTCAGAAATTCAAACCTTTTCTTCTGTTTTTGATCACAATCTTTGTGCTGAATTTCGGATTCATCACTTGCGAATCACCCTCGATTTCGCCCAAATGTTTCGATAAATTTAATACCTCAACAAATTATCAATCTGACGTTCAAGCCCTGATGGAAGTTTTTTCCTCCAAATCTTCCCAATATACCTTCTACAATGATTCTTTTAGAGGAGTCTATGGCCTGTTTCTCTGCAGAGGTGATGTTGATAGTAGCACTTGCCAAAGTTGCATCAATGATGCCACCGTAGATCTGCCAAAAACTTGCTCTTCTTATCGAGGTGGAGTCATCTGGTATGAAAAATGCCTGTTACGCTACTCGAATACCGATTTCTTCGGTGAAGTAACATTTGAGCCAGACTCCTATATCTATATGAGGAATCTAGAACACAATACTTCACCTGAAGACGACTCGGCGGTACTTAATTTGCTAAAGGAAGCGATTGAGCGAGCTGCTCAGAACTCATCAAAGCTTTATGGGACCCAGGAAGGAGTTGTGCCTAGTAATGTGTCTCGGAATATATATGTCCTGGTGCAGTGCACAAGAGATCTCAATAGAAGTTCATGTTACTCTTGTTTGAAGGAAATAACTGATCAACTCCGGAGTTGTTGCCTGGGGTGGGCAGGGTGGCGCTTCTTAACCCCAAGTTGCTTTGCAAGATTTGACGAATACGTTTTCTATTCAGGAGCACCACAACCTGCTCCTGCAGCACCTCCCACGCCCAATAGAGGTTAGTACTAAATTAGGACAAATTTTGAATGACCAAATTAATTTTCCAACCTAAACTCTTCTAAAAGAAAATTTGTGATTGTTTATTGTAATATATGTACTAGCAGGGAAAGGGGAAGGAAGGACAAAGAAGGTTGTGATCATCTCTGTATCATCATTAACAGCTGTCCTTGTTGCATTCTTTCTTGCTGGCTTCTTATGTTTTTCATTCTGCGGGAAAGGACTGAAAGGTAGATGCATATAGCCTTTTTTTTTTTTTTTTTATTCCCCCTTTTTCATTTTTCCTATGGGTGAAATTTGGACATACACACACACACA